GATGGCGGCTTTCCTCAACGGGTTGAAACCAGAGATTCGGGCCGAGATTAAGTTGCAGCAACCGGGTCTCCTGACCCGACCCGATTCCCTGACCCAGGCCACTTGGTTGGCCCAACGTGTTGAAGAAAGGAACTGGGCCTTAGAAGAAGCCCAAGTAGGCCTGGCCCGAACTAGAAGATATGGCCACTTCACTTATGGGCCCAAACCCAATTCTGCCATACCCAAGCCCAACTCCAATTCACTTAAAATGGACGAAAAATCCTCCAGTTCAAACACCATTCACCCTTCACCCAAATCTGTCAACCAAACCCACGCCTTCTCCCCAATTACAACCCTCAACCGAAGATTTTCCATCTGAAACTTACGGTAGTTCAGGGTCAACAACTTCAAACAACAGCAAGACCAACGCATTCCGGCGAGATTTTTCGTTCAAAAAGTTGATACAGAGGAAGAGAGAGCGTGGCTTGTGCTACCGATGTGATGCAAGGTATTCCCCAGGGCATAAATGTGGAGAGAAACAGTTCCAGGTTTTACTAGTTGATGAGGAGGAAAATGGGGACGAGGAGATAGCTAATGAAGAAGAAATGGTAGAAGAAGAAGTTCCCAAAGAAGCTGAGTTATCAATCAGTTCAGTGGTTGGAATTAATGGGCCTAAAATGATGAAGTCGAGTGGAGAAATTAGAGGTAAGGAGGTTATAATTTTAATTGACAGTAGGGCATCGCATAACTTCATAAACAAGGGCTTGGTGGAGGAACTTCAGATTCCGTAACAGCAACTAAAACATTCGGAGTGAGGGTTGGTGATGGCTATAACGTCAGGTGTCAAAGAGAGTGTATGGGGGTGTGTCTGAGCTTGCAGGGTGTTGACATAATAGAAAATTTTTTCCTATTTGAGATAAGCAGTGTTGATGTCATTTTGGGTATAGCTTGACTGGAAACGTTGGGTGAAACAACCACAGATTGGAAGAAGGTAGTAATGAAGTTTCATTGTTCGGGCACCACAGTCACACTTAAGGGAGATCCAACTTTGTGCAGAACTATGGTGTCACTTAAGGGGATGCTGAAAACATTACAGACCGAAGGATCAAGATACTACATTGAGTTCGGGCATATGCAGATACAGTCAACACAAGGACCAGGCCATTCGGAGTTGATTAACAGTTTATTACAGCAGCATCAAGAATTGTTTGAACCTCCACCTGGGTTGCCACCGATCAGGATACATGACCATGCCATCAGACTGACAGAGGGGAGCCAACCTCCTAATATCATGCCCTACAGGTACCCCTACTATTTAAAGAATGAGATTGAGAGTATTGTCTGAGACATGTTGGTATTCGGAATTATAAAGCCAAGCAAAAGTCCGTTCTCGAGTCCCGTGTTACTGGTGAAGAAAAAGGATGGTGGTTGGCACTTTGGTGTGGACTACATAGCCTTGAACAAGATTACAGTGTCCGACAAATTTCCAATACCGACGGTTGACGAGTTATTTGATGAGTTGGGAAGAGCTTCGGTGTTCACTCAATTGGATCTTAAATCGGGTTACCATCAGATTCGGGTCAAAGAAGAAGACACCTACAAGACCGTTTTCCGCACCCATGAGGGCCACTACGAGTTTCTGGTAATGCCCTTTGGATTATCCAATGCCCCTTCTACATTTCAAGCTCTCATGAATGATATTTTCAAGCCGTATCTACGGCGATTCTGACTAGGTTTCTTCGACGACATCTTGGTTTATAGTCCTAATATCACAGCCCACGAAGGTCACTTGAGTCTCACTTTTCAAACCTTAAAATAGCATCAGTTGGTAGTGAACCGAAAGAAGTGCACATTCGCCCAATCAGGGTTGGAATATTTGGCCCACATAATTTCCTCAGAGGGAGTGGCGGTTGACCCAGTGAAGGTTGAATGTATTTTGGCATGGCCGACACCTAAGGACATTAAAGCCTTAAGGGAATTTCTCGGATTGACTGGGTATTACCGAAAGTTTGTTAAAGGATACGACGCACTAGCAAAACCTCTCACCGCGCTACTTTGTGAAAATTCCTTCTGTTGGACCGAATCCTTGCGGACTGCATTCAATGAATTAAAAAGGGTAATGCTTACGATATCGGTTCTTGCTATGCCTGATTTTACTAAAACTTTTGTTGTTGAAATAGATGCTTCAATGTTAGGTTTGGGAGCAGTTCTGATGCAAGAAGGCTGACCACTAGCCTTCATCAGCCAAGGCCTATCACTAAGGTCCCAAGCCAAGTCCGTTTATGAGCGGGAGCTTATGACAACTGTTTTTGTAGTCCAGAAGTGGAAGCACTAGCTTTTGGGTAGACATTTCATCATCCGAACGGACCAACGCAGCCTCCGTTACTTAAATGACCAAAGACTACACGGGGAAGAGCAACAAAAATGGATAATCAAACTATTGGGGCTAGACTATGAGATACAATATAAATCGGGGTCAGAAAATAGAGCCGCAGATGCCTTATCCAGATGAACTGATGGGGTGGAATGCAATTCTCTCTTTGCTAGTTACTTTGGCAGCCGTAAGGAATGGGAAGAGGTTATTTAGCAAGATCCTAAGCTGAACAAAATCTGCCGAGACTTGATTACGGATCCCAAAAGCCATCCACATTTTCACTTAGTGGGACACCAACTTTTCTATGATGATCGACTAGTATTACCTAGTGCCAATCCGCAAGTTCAACTCCTCCTTTAGGAATTTCACTCATCTCCCATGGGTGGACATTCGAGGATTTCAGGACCAATAAGCGGTTGTCTCAGGTTGTCTATTGGGAAGGTATGAAGAATGACATTATGACATTTGTTCGCAACTGTGTTACATGCCAACAGAATAAATATGACAACCTCTAGCCCGTCGGACTATTGCAACCATTACCGATACCAACCCAAGTTTGGGAGGACCTTTCTATGGATTTCATCATAGGCCTACCAAAAGCTCAACGGGTAGATACCATACTAGTGGTGGTTGATAGGTTAACCAAGTATAGCCACTTCATACCTCTCCAACATCCCTACACTGCCTAACAGGTAGCTGACCTCTTCATCTAGAACATTGTTAAACTACATGGGTTTCCACGAACAATCGTCTCAGATCGAGATAGACTCTTCATGAGCATTTTTTGGGGAGAGATGTTTAAACAATCAGGTACGAAGCTACACATGAGCACAGCGTATCACCCTTAGTCAGATGGCCAAACGGAAGTGGTTAACCGTTGTGTTGAGACCTATCTCCGCTGCTTTGCAGGACAACAACCAAAGCAGTGGCCTAAGTGGTTAAATTTGGCAGAATACTGGTTTAATACAACCTTCAATCGGTCCTCAGGTATGTCTCCTTTTCGAGCATTGTACGCAGACATCCACCAGTCCTTCTTAGATATTCCGAACATGCATTAGTGGTGATGGCAGTTGATGAGCAAATGATCGCAAGGAATCACATTCTGGATGAATTAAAACTCAATTTATCCCAAGCTCAAGGAGCGATGAAGGCCTATGTGGATGGTAAGAGAAGAGATGTTCAATTCCAACCAGGTGATTTAGTTTACTTAAGACTTCAACCTTATCGTCTTAAATCACTGGCTCGAAGGCCAAATGAAAAACTCAGCCCACGATTCTATGGACCTTATGAAGTGACTAAAAAGGTTGGTCCTGTGGCATACCGTTTGCAACTTCCCCCCACAGCCCGCATCCACAACGTGTTCCACGTCTCCCAACTGAAAAAGGTTACCTCTCAGCCAACCACCTCACTTCCACTCCCTCCCTTTCTTGATGGAGATATGGTACTCCAAGTCAAGCCCGAGCAAGTTTTGCGAAAGCAAAGGTTGTTAAATGGGGACTATGAGGTTCTGATCAAGTGGAAGGGTCTACCAACTTGTGATAACACCTGGGAGCCCTATACAACCATTTGCCATCAATTTCCTTCTTTCCACCTTGAGGACAAGGTGGCACTCCTTGGGGAGGGTAATGATGGACCCAAAATAGCTAGCTGGTACTCACGCAAGACAGACAATAGGAAATAGGGGCAAAAGGGGTAAATTACCCAAGGACAGGTGTCTGATTAGTTGTTAGAGTTGTTAGAATCAGGATGTCAGAATAAAAGGGCTGTGGTACTAGAGAGAGGATATCAATTGTTTTGTGCATGAATTGAGTGTGGGAGGTGCTGGCCCTCAAAGACCAGCTGGTGTTACTGTTTTATTGTTTTATTCATACAGACTCATTGTTATTCTTAAACCCTCTATTATGATTAATATACCATTTCCATTATTTTGAGCTGTTGTGTTGGATTGGTGCTGAAATATTGTTGAATGTTACGTCTGGATAGTTCTTATTCTTGTATTTGGGCTGTGTGTTGCGTGTGAGTTGTGAAAAGGGTCTGGTAAACCGCTGGGTTCCATCAACATCTAAGCGAAGAAACATAATTATATTGTTTACTTTGAAGTCATTTGGTGTGCTTACAACTGCCTCTTTAAATTTGACCTTATAAGTAAAACTCAATGGGACAAAACCTGGTCAAGGGAAAAATAGTACATTGCACATATGCCCTATACAAGAACTCTTCAAAAATTTACAAAAGGAGTATACTGTACATATGTTCAATACAATAACTCTTTACAGTAAATCTTAATTTGGATTATCTTGCCCTCACCACTTGGTACTCTCTATTTGATGGAATTGTGTTATTTGTTATTGGCTTTTGGGGTCTTCTCTTTATATTAACGTTCAGTAGTATGGAGATTTGCTGATGTTAAAACCTTGATGGAACTGTAATGGGGTTGGGAATTGCACTGCCATTTGTGATCAGCAAGAGATCAATATTGAGGATATATGTAAGTGCTGCAGTTTGAGAAACGAACAAAAATGAGAGGACTGTTTTCTTCTGGATCCCTCGTCACTGTTATTTTGTATGGTTCTATAATAAACTTTAATGGCGACATGAATGTTTTTGGGTATCCATGTAAAAAATTGTTTATTTATTTATTTTACAGGTGGTAGATGGAACATTTAGTGAAGAACCTGGGTCAGGCACAATAGCTATTATTGAGAACAGAAAGGTGTCTGTTGGGACAATAGACTGGGTTTGCAGGTGTTGTACTCATGGGACTCTTCCTCTTATGTTATTTCTTTTCTACTTCTGGTCAATTCAATTCATTCTGTTGTATTCAAAGTTGCATAAGGAGAAAAATATTCTGTTTTAATATTCTTCAAGTATGCGTTCTACATTTTAAACTATCTGTGAATTTTCGGACAGATACCTCAGTACTCTTCTGCTGCTTGCATGTTCTTCATATTGATGTGATACAATCTCATGTTCATCCTGAAATTTTTCCGACAGTTCTATTTTGAAATACTAACAGCAAACATGTCTGCTGGCTCCAGTTTTAGGTTCTTTGACATGATTCTTTTGTAAGCATATGAATGCAGCAAGTCAAATGTACTGATTTTTTTTTAATGCTATATATTTAGCTCAGCTGTATACTATTTCATTGATGGTGAATTCATCCTGTTTCCTTGTTGAAATCCCAGGCATCCCACGGAGAAGCTAACTCTGTTGGTGCCTATTTCCTGATTTCATGAGTGTGAATCCAGTTGACTCAGTCATGAGAATGGCAATGGAACTGTCACTCGTAATACTGGTCAATGCTTACAAAAGGGACATAGATGTGAATGATGGGATAATTATAACAGCATTTTATACATGTTCTAAGTCTGCTTTTGTTTATGAGGAATGAAATCAGCCATAACCACTCATTATTGTACTTACATAAAACTGAATGTGTCCAACTTCCAGCTTAGGGATTTTCCCATGTCATTTCTAATATCAATTCATGAGTGAATATTTTCTTTATGCAGGCATGGAGTTGATGTAAGTTCATTTCAAGAAGTGGACATGGAGGATTTGAACAATCAATCTGTTGTATACGTTGGAGTTGATAATACCCTTGCAGGTTGTATTTATGTTGAGGATCAGATCAGGGAGGATGCAGAATTTGTTGTCGAATCTTTGTCTAGGCAAGGAATTGGTGTATACATGCTATCTGGAGACCAAAAAAGTGCTGCTGAATATGTTGCATCTCTTGTTGGTATTCCAAAAGAGAGGGTAAGATACGGTCTTTCAGTTATTCAATACCATAGTCTCAAGAATGAAATTTATCATAAACCTATTTATGTTCTGTTGGAATGGCAGTTGATTTCATTGACAAAATTGGGAAGACACCTTAGATTTTGTTCTCTTTCTGTATTTCTTATATTTCAACAGTACAACCTAACTCAAATATATACACACACTCAACAATTACAAATATACCCTTTACACTATATATATACATAGTTTCCAACACTCTCCCTCAAGCTGGAGCATATATATCTATCATCCCTAGCTTGTTACAAATATAGGTTACCCTTTTACCAAGTAGAGACTTCGTGAGGATGTCAGCTAGTTGTTCCCCTGTTCTAATATGATTAGTAGTAATTAACTTTTGTTCAAGTTTCTCTCGTATAAAGTGACAATCCACTTCTATATGCTTAATCCTCTCGTGAAAGTCTGGATTGTTTGTTATATGTATGGCTGCTTGGTTGTCACACCACAAGTCCATAGTCCTTGGGTCACCAAACCCAATTTCTCTAAGAAGATGTCTTGTCTATATGAGCTCACACGTAACTTCTGCCATAGCCCAATACTCAGACTCTACGCTTGACCTAGCTACAATCGGTTGCTTCTTACTTTTCCAAGAAATAAGATTTCCTCCAACAAAAACACAAAACCCAGTCACAGACCGTCTATCCACAGAGGATCCTGCCTTATTTGCATCTGAAAACTTTCTACCTTATTATGACCATGATCACTGTAAAGAATCCCACGTCGAAGGGCTTCTTTTAGATACTTCAAAATATGGAGGACCGCATCCCAATGAGATGTCCTAGGATGACATAAACTGACTCTCTATACTCACTGAAAAAGCAATATCTGGACGGGTTACTGTAAGGTTGTTTAACTTTACAACTATCCGTCTGTACCTCTCTAGATCACCAAACATCTCTCCATCCTCAGCATTCAATCTCACATTAGGAACCATAGGAGTGTCACAAGGCTTAGCCTCACTTAGACCCATTTCAGTCAACACATCTAACACATACTTGCATTGAGAGAGAAAAATCCATTTCTTACTCTGAGAAACCTCGACTTCCAGATACCTTAAAGCGTCCAAGTCTTTTGTGTTAAATTTGGAAGCCAAAAAGTTTTTCAAACTCTTAATGCCAACATCATCACTGTCAGTGATTACAATGTCATCAACATAAACAACTAAAAGAATGATGCTAGAACTAGATTGCATATAAAAGACAAAGTGATCATAAGCACTCTTATGTAAACCAAACAAAGTCACCACTTCGCTAAACCTCCCAAACAACGCCTGTGGAGATTGCTTTAAGCCATATAAAGATTTTCTCAGTTTGCATACCTTTCCTGACTCCCCCTAAGCAACAAACCCTGGAGGTTGCTCCATGTAAACCTTTTCAAGAAGATCACTATGTAAAAAGACATTTTTTACATTAAGTTGGTGAAGATGCCAACAATATGAAGCTGCAAGAGAGATGAATAGTCGGACAGAGGTCATTTTAGCCACTGGGGAGAATGTCTTAAAATAATCAATACCATACGTCTGGGCATAACCTTTAGTAACCAATCGAGCTTTCAACCGAGCCACAGTCCCATTGGGATTAGCCTTCACTGTGAAAACCCATTTGCATCCAATAGCCTTTTTATTTTCAGGCAACTCTATTAAAACCCATGTATCATTATGTTTTAGAGCCAACATCTCTTCTTCTATAGCCCTTCGCCACCCATCATGAGCAATTGCTTCAGACACAGAGTTGGGAACAGACACAGAGTCTAAAGAGGCAATAAAAGACTTGGAAGATGAAGACAAAGAGTGATAGGAAACAAATGAGGAGATAGGATAGGTACAAGAGCGCTTACCTTTACGAAGAGCACTGGGAAGATCATGATCATGGTCAGAGGAAGGAGGAACCGGATCCGAGGGCGAGGCAGTCGATAGAGGCAGTGGATCAGATGTTGCTGCAGGTGTCTCATGGGGCTGGTGAACCCTGCGAGAGTATACCTGGGTGATAAGAGGACAAGAAGGTAGAGGACTATGATGGGTAATGTTGTAAACAAGAAGATCATCAAGGGGGTGCTTCAAAACAAGTAGATGAAGTGGAGGACTTAACATATGAAGTGGTTTCAAAAAAGGAAACATCAGCTGAGATAAGGTACTTACCTAGGACAGGAGAAAAACAGCGATAACCCTTCTGATATCGGGAATAACCCAAGAATATGCACTTGAGGGACCTAGGTTCAAATTTGGATACATGAGGTCTAACATCTTGAATAAAGCACGTGCACCCAAACACTTTAGGAGGAAGAGAGAATAAAGTTTGTGATGGAAAAAGGATGGAGAACGGGATTTGACCACCCAAAACAGAAGAAGGCATGCGATTGATGAAGTGACATGCTATAGAGATAGCATCTGCCCAAAATTCTATAGACTTTAATGTGAAAAAAGAGAGTACAAGCGACTTCTAATAAATGATGATTTTTGCGTTCAGCAACTCCATTTTGCAGAGGTGTATAAACACATGATGACTGATGAATAATAACTCTAGTAGACAGAAAGGAGAAGAAAGGGGCAGAAACGTATTCTTTGGCATTATCACTTTTGAGAATTTTAATAGATACAGTAAATTGATTTTGTATTTCAGCATAAAAGGTACAAAATATGGAGAACAATTCAGAACGATTTTTCAAAGTATAACCAAGTTACACGTGAAAAATCATTCACAAAAATTACAAAATATCGATATCCAGACTTAGACAAAACTGGGCAAGGACCTCAAACATCAGAGTGTATAACATCAAAAGGGGTTGTGGCTCTTTTGTTTATCCTAGGGCTATAGGACACTCTATGGTGTTTTCCAAACTTACACGCCTCACACTTAAGGTGTGACATTGACCCTACACTAGGACACAACCTTTTCAAAATGGGAAGGGGAGGATGACCAAGGTGACCATGTAATATAGATAGAGATGAATCACTGGTACACGCAACAGGTTGAGAGATAGGAGTGGAGACATCATCGAGCATATACAGGCCACCTGATACACGACCCTTACTAATAATCCGCCTCGTCCCAAGATCCTGAAATATACAGTGAGTAGGAAAAGAGTAAACACCACAATTGAATGCATTAGTAATTTGACTAATTGATAAGATTAAAGAGAAAATGAGGAAGACACAAGACAGAGGAAAGAGACATAGATTTGTTGAGATGGGCAATACCACATCCAATAATAGGTGCAGTAGACTCGTTAGCTAAGGTAATTGAAGACAAATTGAGAGAAGGTGTAAATGAGGAGAGAATACCTGTATCGCCTGTCATATGGTGGGTAGCACCAAAATCAATGACCCAATTACTACTAGAAGTGGACAAACAGGCTGTAGGATTACCTAACTGGGTTAATGTAGTGGTAGTCGATGGGATGGATGACTGGGAGCAAGAATTCTGAGTGAGACGAGCATATTCTGTTGTAGAGATAGTAACCTGTGATGGGGTGGGTAAGAGACCATCTTGAGTTACAACATGAGAAAACTTCTGATTGTCTTGCATATTTAGGGGCTTGCCATGGAGCTTCCAACAATTTCTTTTTTTTTTTTTTTTTTACGTGACCCTCAGCACCACAGTGAAAGTAAGTACGAGGGTCATTACCACGATTGTTCCTGATATCATGACTTGTCCCTTTGTTACCTTTTCCATCACCATACTTCATGTTAGCTAGGGCCGCATGATCAACATTAGGATCCTTAAAAGTTTCTTTGTCCTTAGACACTCCTCGATCTTCTCCCTTACTAATTCTGAGAAGTCGAGCAAAGACATTCGTAAGAGAGGGAAGTGTCTCACCAGTAAGAAGTTGTGTACGAGCTATCTCATATTCTAGTTTCAACCCAGCCAGAAAACATTGCACTGCCACTTGTTCTTGTGCTTGCATCATCTTCACATCAGTAGGGACAGGAAACATAGCCATTTTTTCTTCAAAGGCTTGTTTTATCTCTGTATAATATTCGAGCAACGTCTTCTCTTGCATATTTGCTCGATAGATCTTCAATAACAATTCATGGGCATGAGACAGGCTTGTTTACCAGTATACAAGAACTCTAGATACTCTCATGACTCCTTGACTATATCACAGTGACCAATCACATCATCTACGGACGAATCGAGAGTGTTCTGAATTTGATTGAAGAGCTTATCATCTTCCATGAGTCATTTTTTTCGAGTTTTATTATCATTTTCTGTTTCCTCAGGTAGATCCTCGATTAAATGGTCTCCCATATCAATGCTGGACAAATATTGTCGGATAATCCGCTTCCATTGAATATAATTCCTTTTTCCTAATAATTTTCGATCAGTAATTTTGATGGAGGAAGTGACAATTTCAGTCACTATCTTCTTACCGTCCTCTGCCATACTGTCCAGCAAATAACTCTTAACTCCACAGATTCATAACAATCTCAACACCAAACAACCCAAGCAAACACAACAACTCTGGTATCACATCAACTCCAAGCCAACACACAAGGATAGCCAAAAATGATTTACAACAACTCCACGTTGGCTTAATTCAAAACAACTCTGGTATCACATTTTCCAACTACAAGCCAACACAAATGTATAGAGGATTACGAGTGGCTTACCGAATGATCAAACCTGTTGACTTTTGTTGTATATTTACAACTTTACCTTCCTTCAACTTGAGGTTCCTCAGAATATTCTGATCAAAGCATGTCGCAAAGCATTCCCATTTTGACTAAAAAAAAATGATTTACTGCACCAAACCAACAACAGAGAAGAGAGAAATGATTTATTGCACCAAACCAACAACAGAAAAGAGAGACTGGAACAGAATCAACACTCGCCGGAAAAAGAGAAACAAGGTCGTCGGATAGATCAAAAGCAACGAAGAACAGACTCAGACGTTGCCAGAAACAGAGAAGCTAAGGGCAGACGTCGCCAGAAACAGAGAAGCTAAGGGCAAACGTCGCCAAGAGAGAAAAACCATGGACAAAGACGTCATCGGAGATCTCTGGAAAACAGAAACAAAGGGAAGAGGTCGCCGGAAAACAGAAATAGAGGGAAGAACAGACTCAGACGTTGTCGGTAACGGAGAGGCTAAGGGTAGACGTCGCCGAAAAACAGAAACAAGCAAATGGGTTTAGGGTTTACGTGTCTAGGAGCTCTGATACCATGTTCTCTTTCTATATTTCTTATATTTCAACAGTACAACCTAACTCAAATATATACACACACTCAACAATTACAAATATATCCTTTACACTATATATATACATAGTTTCCAACAGATTTTAAACATTTCAGAAAATAGTTCAATTATGATTGACAAGTGCTAGTAGATAGGTTTTTAGGGATAGATTTCTAGACCTATTTATATCTACCAATTGTTTATTTTATTATTCTAAGTTTTAGAGTTTCGTCTCTAATTGCATCCATTTGGTATTCATCATAAGTTACAAAGGACTTTGGCTATCATAACATTCACATCTGCTACCCTGCCTGGAGACAAGCTGATGTTTGTGCTAGGCCGGTGACAAACTTGAAATATTTTATCAAACCCTTTGAAACAATTTGGTTATTATTTTGGACTTCAAACATTGTTTCCTTTAGTACTGTTGCTGTGATAGTTGTGGCAATTGACTGATAGTCATTTAAGCTTATGAGTAAACTTCAAACATGTGGGTGGGGTCCGTGGGGTGCATGATAAAAAAAATTATAAACGGCAAGAAAAACATTTCAAACGTCAAAACCTCACAACTAAAAGTGAAACTGAGCTCTGAAAACTGCAGGTGCTGTCTGGAGCTAAACCAGCTGAGAAGAAGAGGTTCATAAATGAACTTCAGAAGGATCAAAACATTGTAGCCATGGTTGGTGATGGAATCAATGATGCAGCAGCTTTGGCTTCATCACATATTGGAGTTGCCATGGGTGGGTGTGTTGGAGCTGCTAGTGAAGTGTCTTCTGTTGTATTAATGGGAAACAAACTATCTCAGGTATTACAAACTATCTCAGGTATTTCTAAAGTTGGATTAGTGAAACTTGAATTTCAAATTGAAATCCAATTGCTGAGCTTGTGTCACATGGAATATATCTGTCTTAGCTATTCGAATTGCTTCCAAATTTTCATTTCTGAAATTGAAATCTTCAGTTATAATGCTGAGGCATTATACAAATATGGGTCAGAGTATAGAGGGATTTTAAAATGTAGGGGAGATTTTTTGGAAGTTTTTGCTGTCAAGTGTAGGGGATGATAAAATCTTTGCTCGGGAAGATGTGTGGTGGACTGAGGTAACATTGGAATTTTTATTTTAACATTTGTTTTTAATTGAAGAAAGTATGAGAGTTAGTGTCTTCAACTTCAGTGATGTGTATGCGAGACTTAATGTTGGGATCCAAATTTTATTTGAGCAGTGGAAGATTTAGTGTTGGATCTGTTGAAACATATTTTAGTTTTTATATAATTTATTTATTTTTATTATGCACATGTTGCCTATCAGGGTACATTGTGCTGTGTTTGACATTGAGCAGTTATATTGAGGGTTAGTCCTTTAAAGCTTCAAGTCAAAGCCTAACATATTTTTCTTGGAAGATAGGTCTGAACACAGGGTTACCCAAAATTGTTCCATTTTAAGTTTGGACGGTAGCTTGATCTCGCATGTATGGTAAATTGTGTTATATGTATATAGTACCATGGAGGAACTTTTATTATTAATGTCCCAAAATTAGATAAATTCTTCTGCTTAGTGCAGGGAGGATAATATTCCTGTAACTTTGTGGTCTTCATTTTATGAAAGATTTCTACTTGAGGAAATTGATTTAATGTTGCCTCTGTGCAGTTGCTTGACGCTTTGGAGCTGAGCAGGCTAACCATGAAGACTGTGAAGCAAAACTTGTGGTGGGCCTTTGCATATAACATTGTAAGTTTTTACCTATTACGCTAGATATAACTGTGCATTTCATAATTAAAGCCAAGGGAAATGACAGGATTTGATCTACTAATGTGATGCCGTTCTCTCTCTCTCTCTCTCTCTCTCTCTTGGCCCCCCCCCAAAAAAAAAAAAAAAAATTCTACTAACTTGAGGAGTGATTTCATATGTTTCTCTTTTGTACCCCGTTCTTCAGTTTTTTTTTTTTCTTTCTTTTATGCTATGCTGCTGGAATTGTTCCTCTTCAGCTATATTTCAATTTTTTTATGATGCTTTTACTTTCAAACAGGTTGGAATTCCAATTGCTGCTGGAATGTTACTTCCAGTAACCGGGACCATACTGACTCCATCAATTGCTGGAGCCCTTATGGGTTTGAGTTCCATCGGCGTGATGGCAAATTCCCTTCTTCTGAGATTTATATTCTCCTCAAAACAGAAACAAATTTCTGGAGCCGCCCCTCACATCAAAATTAACGTGGATTATGATCAACTTTTGGACTCGAAAGAGAAAATGAAGTACCCTATTTCTGATGGTAAATGGAGACAGAAACGATAATCGCACAAGAGATGAGATCAACCTTTCTTATTTGGTTGGTAGAGTCTAACCTCAGTTTCATTTGCAATACTTCAAAGGATGAGTAGCATGGTGCTTTTGTGCATACATTTATTGTCCTCTACAAAAGAGGTTTAAGTGTTGCATTTTTCTCGAAGTATAGGTGTAAAAAAATATTTGCTCATTCATTTTGGGGATATTAAAATAATGTCAGAATAGGACTAATAGCTCAAAATGTTACCTTCAATTGATACAAATTGTTTAAAGTTTAAAGTTTTCAGTTTCTTCCAGAAAAATATTCGTAATCCTTTTTACATCAACTTTTTTCATTGAATTAATTGAAATGGTAGGGTAAGCATGATTACAATATTCTATTTACTTAAATAATTCAGTGTGTGTTTGGGATTGCTGTAGTTTAAGAAATACTCTATTAAAGTTTAAGATACGATAATAAAGTGTGATAAATCACTTTGAAAATAGATTAAGTTTCAAACTGATTATAAAATGATCAGATTCATAAAAAGATTCTAAAATTTGCCTTATGTAATTTTTCAAAATCAAATTAATTTCTTAAATTGGTTTCAAACATATATGACTGTGTTTGTTTCCCTAGTTTTGCCTTATTCTATTCCTATCAATTTCAAAATACAAATTTTTTTTTCTATTCTAGAAATACTATTATATTTTATTAAATTATTTTTAAACCTTCTAAGTTTGTTAATTAATTAAACGCCTCCTAAAAAAAAGTTTAGAAATTGAGAAAAAACATCTTCACCCCTCCACATTTGTCAGATTCCAGCCACCACCGTCGGAAGGTGGTTAGAATTGGCGGTGGTGGTTGGAATCTGGTATAATGGTGTACTACCGATTGGATCTGACCGGTAGTGTATGGATATAACATTTTTCGATCAAATCTATCGTAGATCTAGCCGGAAAAGGCCAAATCTATGGCCATTGATTGTCAGGTCTTTGGTTGTAGCTAGTTGTCAGCGATGATCATATCTTTAGTCGTTGTTGACGACGAAACACGACCAGATCTCCTAAATCTCGACACCTCGAGAAGGATGGGCTCTCGTTCACAAACCCCTTGATCCTTTCTTTTCTTATTTCTTTTCTTTATTATCTCGTTTTATTCCCTTAAGAATAATAGAGATAATGAACTCTTTAGTTGAAACTGGCTGTTATCCTCCTAAACAGGAAAGGGGGAAGAGCCGTTATTAAATTTCTTTGAGTAAGGGCTTTCTGAAAAGCCGTAGTTGCAATTGGGCTTTGGTTTGTACTTGAATCGATCTTGCCTTGGTGTCGCCCGAAGGGCGAGATTGACCTTTCTCCTTCATTAACAGACCAGGCTAAGAAAGCAGAAAATCTAGATCTTCTCACCATTTTTTTCTCTTTGCTTTGAATAGCTATCGTACTTAAGGGATGAAGGAATGGATGCAGACTAAGAAAACTTTTCAGCCTTAGATTTGGCCTTTTTCGACCAGATCCAAAAGGCCATCTCGGCACACGACCGACTAGATCTAGCCGGCCGTGCTCCGATACGGTGACTCCGACCACCCTTTAGCGATGGTGGCCAGTTGCCGGTATTTAATGGGTGGGGGTGTTTTTGTATTTTTTTAATGTTTTTATTACATGTGTGTTTAGTAAATTAACAAACCTAGGGGTTTTTTGTTAATTTTTAAATTCTACCTCGTTATTACCACACAACTCTTACTTTTTCAAAAATACTAAAGCAAACGAACCCTACAATGTCAAACGCACCCTTGGATATTAATAGAACATGTTTGAATTTATATTGATAATTTAATAAAATTTTAATTAGTGTGCGACCTCTTCAACATAACTCTTAAACGAGTCTGCGACCTTGTCGCCGTAACTTGTAAACGAGTGCACAAGCCCGTCGTCGTAACTCATAAATGAGTGTGCGACCTCGTCGCTGTAGCGCGTAAACGAGTGCTTGACCTCATCGCCGTAACTCGTAATGTGAACGCATAGACCGCACATCGTTAGATCGTAATTTTGGAGCTTGTCATTTCTAAAGCTCGTATTTTGAACCTTGAATTGACCTCCAAAGACTGGGGGGCTATTGTTATGCAAGAAATCTGCAGAGGATAATTCCCTATTAAAAAAGAAGATATTTACATTTACCTATTGTGGAAGGAAGATATTTAGATTGACTTGGATTTCAAGTAAGATAGTCGAAGATCATGCAACTTCCTAATTCTATGAATTTGAATATTACCTCAACTCTATCATGTAAAATGGGTTCTATATAAACCCTTTCAAAATCATTGTAAAAGAGGAGCATTAGTGAGAACTCTTTCACTGTAATCACAAATACATCAATAAGATAATAGAGGACGTAGACTTAAGAGTTAACTTGTCAAACCTCTTTAAAAATCCCTTTTTGCATTTTTATTTTCTTTTACTTGCTGATTATAATCACGCAACCATCCTATCCGATATCGTGAGGGTCAATCGCGTATCTCTAGTTGTTGCGAGATTTCTTAACAACAATTATGCATTATTTTGAGAACTAGACAGGATCTACCGGCAGTCTTTCCGGTCAGGATTGGGTTTCTTTGCAAGATTTCAAAATTTTGGGGACTAATTTGTAATTTTTAGGGGGTTTGTAGGATTTCAAAACTTTAGGGACTAATTTGTGATTTTTAGGGGTATTTTTGTCAGGATTTCAAATTTTTGGGACTAATTGAAGTTTTTACGGGGTTTTTGTAAAATTTCAAAATGTTGGGACTAATTATAATTTTTGAGGAATGTGTTTTTGTTGACGTCACTAGAGGTGGAACAAATGGGCCGGGTTAGGCGGGTCAACCCTAACCCAACTTGCCTCAACTTGGGTTCAACCTAGCCAAGGTATACCCTGTCGGGCGGGCTGGGCCTTCATAGGCCAACCGACAGGTTTTTTTTTTTTTTTACCTATCCAACCTACTAGGTTGGACAAAAAAAATAAAATAAAAAATAATTAAATTTTTTTTTTTTTTTTGCAAAAACCCAGTTTACCCTTGAAATATAGTCATTTTATAGCATTGGAGTGTCTTTTTGGTCATTTCTTTTCCCCTTTTTTTCTATATAGGGCTAAACTCTTATATTTCCTTACATCCCAAATTCTCTCGTTCTCTCATTTTATCTATTAATCTCTCAATCTCTTGTTGTCAATTTGCTCTCATCTTAAATTTATTAGTTTTTGCAATTTTCAATTTATATTTCCAAATTTCATGTATGCTCTCTCTCTCTCTAGCTAGTACCTCGTAAAATAACAGTAAAGCTCACTAAATATATAAGAATATATTATATATATATAATATTATATAGATGAGTATAAAATAATGGGCCCCTAAGTGAATTTTTCTTTATATACAAATCTTTACATAATGTAATAAAATCACAAAACATCAACTCGAAAGTGTTGCCAAACCCTTCCACTTCTTGACGTTCTAAGAGACCGCATCTCACCTACTACCTACAAAAACATTGAAAACAATGGGGTGAGCACTAATTGCTCAGTAAGTAAACCCGCTATGCTACCTTTCTCTCTCCGTTGCTTAAATTCTAAATTTCTTTCCTTACATCACACTTCTCTATTCTTCTCAGTTCTTTCTCAATTTCTAATTTATCACTACTCATGATAGTAGGCATGGTATCATGCATAGATATGATGCAAATGCACAAATACATAGAATGTGCATTTTCTTTTCTGTTTTTCTATTTTTTCTTATTCTGTTTTCTGTTTCTTTTCTCTGTATTTCTTTCTGTGCTTCCTTCCTTTCAATTCATTCTTTCCTTCTATTCTGTCTTTTCTTTTCTATTCTTTCTTTCTTTCTGTTCTTTTATTTATTTCTTGTCTTTTCTATTCTTTCTTTCTTTTCTTTCTATTCTTTCTTTCTTTCTATTCTTTCTTTTCTTTTCTTTTCTTTCTTGCCGATCGGACTCAGTTGAGGCATAAATTTGGAACCCTAGCCATGTGAGTGTATTCTCTAATTCTGGGTATAGTCCTCATCCACATGCACTTCTAACGGACTGTACAATTCTTCTTTTTGATTCTGAGGCCGCTCACCAAGGGTGGTCTGCATGCGAGGCTATGTCACTCACGGGTTCCCCATCGCAACAACCTTCTCTTCTTTTATATTTTTACACTTCTTTAAATAAAATTTCAGATTTGAATTTCTTTAATATTCTCATTTCTTTCTATTTGCTCTTTAATGTTCTTTAATGCTTTTTAATGCTCTTATGAGTATGTATGCATGTAGATGGGCTCATGCTTATTATTCTTTCTAAATTCACATGTTTGGATGCAATAATGCAATATGGAATGTGAATATATCATTCTCTACCATCTACAAACTCATCTCAAGATAGCAAATAATCATACTCATACATGCACTTCTCTTTGACATTTCATCAAACAATTTATATGCACACATCAACTCTAATTTGGCTACATTTCTACCTCTTTTCTAAGCCACCAAAATTTGGAATAAAACACACCAAGATTAACGTCAAACCTGTCTAGGATTCACACTCCATAAATTCTACTCCAATTCTTCTATAATTCATCCAAACTTTCATCAAACATCAAGTACACAAACACTACTTCCCATGGATAAATTCTAACCATCGTTCAACATCCATCCCATCAAAATTCTTCATATATAAGCACATACATGCATAAAAGAAATTCTCTACACAATATTACTCCAATCATGACTAGGGTTGGATTTACTTACCTTAGATGTGAGCAATCCAACACTTTAGTAGTCTTCCTTGATCCAACTCTCTTTCTCTTAAATCCTATGGACACAAATCATAAGAATTCAACACTTTAAAAATTAAATCTCACTTCTTAGTACAAGGATCTTACCTAAGGATGCTTGATATTGAAATTCCACTAAAAATAACCCAAAATCTATGAATTTCCCTTGAAAAAGAATTGAAGAAATTGAGAGAATTTGGGGATGAAGGTGGCATGAAAGAGGAGAAGAAATGGCTAGGGTTTCATTTTTCAACTCTTAATATAACAAACTATTATTTATAGTTTCCCATTTTACCCTTACACTTTCCATGAAATTTCATCTATGTCCCTTCATCAATTACCATAATGCCCTCATTTTTATTGTATTCTCCATGAAATTCTATCTCTTTTC